AGAGAGAGAGAGAGAGAGAGAGAGAGAAAGAGAGAGAGAGAGAAAGAGAGAGAAAGGGAGAGAGAGAGAGAGAAAGGGAGAGAGAGAGAGAGAGAAAGCGAGACAGAGAGAAAGAGAGAGAGAAGCGGAAGTTGCACAACGAGCGGATGTCGGCGGATCGATGGAAATGAGTCACCCGAGGTGTCCCGGCGCGGGTCTACATAGGTAAATAGGTTAGCGCCATTGAGCGTGCGCTCTTAAGGCCGCTTCTTCCTTACGGACCGCTTAGTGAATCGATAGAGAAAGCAGAAAGCAAGCGGAGAGATGTCCCCGTGGCGAGAACAGTGAATTCCCGCGCAAGCATATATTTGTGTGTGCGCGCACACACACACACACACACACGCTGAAATGACTTTATCTACTTCGAGAAGTAGTTTCCAATGCGACTCGGCGCGCGAATTTCCATATGCGCGCTTCCTCCTTGCGCAAAAATGTTCCGCGTTCTCTCCGTATTATCGGCTCCGTATTATCGAGGTTGTTACAGGCGCTGAAAAGCGCGAAACATTTTTACATTGAAGAAAATAAAAATAAAATCCAAGAATATTGTGCAACACCTATCTTTTACGCGGCCGCGAATTTAGTCTAGAGTATAAGTCCGCGAGACCAAATATTAAACTTTCTAAGCCACTCATCACGTCCCAGTTTTCCGAGAGGATATCGCAACGAAGAAGCGATGTGTTATACGACTTGCTCTTAACTCTTGCCTGGCTTCCTCTCCCGGACGACCTAATTTCGCGTTTATCTCAAACTGCGTGTACGGAAAGTTCCCTATATTGACACACATATTCACACACACACACATACACACTTTTGTATTTCGCGACCTCTTGAAAAAAAAATTGCGTATCGCAAAATATAGATCGGCGCACGAGTCGAGTTTGGACGTCGGCCAATCGTCTCCTCTCTCGTCTGTGTATCTTCGGGATTGGTACTGAAACAGACCTCTCTCTGCGCGAGGACCCAGCTCGTAATAATCCCTGTTTTCCCTCCCATCGTGTTTTATCAGGGTTCCAAATCGCGCGCACACGTATATAGAGTGTAATGAATAAAACATTGTTTTAATACATAATATTTGCGCAATTCGCGCAACTCTGTGTGTATTTTTATATGTTTATTATTTTAAAACAAATTGCTACGCGCGCGCTCCCGAAAGCGCGGAAGAAAATCGAGAAGAACTTGTATTTACGATAATAAAATAAAAATTAAATGACCGCTATGTAAATACGTATGTACATATCGTGAAAAACATCGTTCGGAAGTGACAAACTTAACGTGCACAGGTAATCGCACCGCCGTAGAGCCGAGGAGGTCTCAGTTTATGATATGTATTAATAATGTGTTTATTGACTTTCCTATCGCGCACATCAAGCAAAGTAGCTAGAGAAGTTATTGTAATACTGCTATTTTTGGTTGCCAGACCTTGAAACATCTTCGCGCTTTAAAAGGATAAGATCTATCTAGCCCTTATCCGCGAGCAATAAAATAAAAGTATTCTTTTTGATTTCGTGCATCAAATGTACGTACATGTATGCGCGTGTAAATAAATCTACGTGTGGCAGCTGTACTTTCAAAACCCATCCCCCACGGGGGTTTATTAATACATTCGTAAAACACAAGT